GAGACGGAGATGCAGGTTAATGATAGACGCAGTGTCCGGAGATCCAGTGTGCCCCCCCTCCCCCCCGTGGAGTCCTCATATGTCAGCGGCCCTTCTTGCCCACTCTGGAGGCGAAAACGTCCCCTCACTCCACTCTGCAGTGGAACAACCTGCCAGCCCCAAGGCAACCTGCACTGCTGCTGGGCGGACCCTCGCTCAGAAGCCAGGCCTTTGAAACGCTGGCCGCTGCGTTCACTCACAGACACTGTCTCATTGTGAAAAGTTTTTTTTTTCCTCCCCTCGTCCTCCACTGGCTGCATCCCCAGTGTTAGGAAACGTGCAACAGCTTTACGACAGAAACAGCTCCTCGCTGCACCTCTGTTGCCCAGTTCTGCTCCCTCCTCCCACTCCTCCCACACAGAACCACCTCTCCCAGGCTGGAGGAGCTCCTGCTCATCGGGCCCTCAGGTAATACTTTGGTGACGCAGAGGTCAAAGGGGATTCTTGACCTTTGACACGTCAAGTTGTTGAAGGCGGGTTCAGATCCATGAACAGCACAGTCTGGTTCGGTCTCATGCTTTAAAAAACAGGAAGCGTTCTGTAAGTCTTGTCAAAACATGTTCGGAATATTTCACAGAAACATGCTCTCACTTTTTGATCCTAGACGATAAAAATCTGTTAAAACCTCGACTCGCTTGTTTATTTTGAAAACACAGGGAGCAAGTTTGTTACAGACAGAACTAGTTGATTACTTAATCATTGGTCTCGACTGTTAAACTCGCTGTCATCACACACCAGGTTGCCAACTTTTGTAAATCTAAATAAAGATCAGTAACCAACAGGGTGGCTCAGAGGGAAGGAGGGCTTTTGTCTCCTACAGGGTGTATCAGATAAAAAATGATACTCTCAAAAAAATCACCATAAAATTAACATAGATAATAATTTTTAAAATGTGGGCGTAACCTTCGGTAGAGGGGATCATTCTGCTTCGAATGAACGCTTCACGCTCCAGTGAGCAGGGACAGCTGGAAATTCACTAAATTCATGTCCTTTGCGCAAGGAAATGTGAGGGTTAAAATACGATCTGTCACATAAAATTAAAAGTTTGGATGATGTTTTACACGCATGCCAAGGAGTTTTTAAAATAATTAACCCTTTCATGTCCCGATGATGACATGTATTCAGTGGGTATTACATGTAATTATACCATAACCTGGTACAAGATCATGTGACCATGTGGTCATTTTATTTCATTAAAACGACATGGTCACAAACATCACCTTCTGTCAAGTTGTTCTTTAGTATTGCTTAAAATAAATAGTTAATCTTTTAGCACATTCGCATCAAATTATCAGTAGTGGGACTTGGAAAATTGTGCAAACGACTTTATGATAAACTGAAGCATGAATTGACAGATTTAGTCGTCACGTAGTTAATTTGATCATATTAATGAAACAGTGACCCAAGTCATCGTGGACTACTTTATAAACACAGACACATGGCTGTACACAGCAGGAGAGAGGAAAAAAAGGACGAAATGAGGAACGGACATTGATGACCTTTTTTCTCTCTCGTTATATTACGACTTTATTCTCATAAAATTATGACTTTAATCTCGAAATAATAAAAAAATCTCATTGTGTGGTCCTCATACATACACATATTAGAAGGGTTAGATGGATTAAAAAACTGTTGCTATGTTGAGCTAGCGTTTTAGTTATCTTAACTTTCAGTTTTCTGCTTCTTTAAACTTCTAGTTCAGATTCTTTTTCTTTTAGCCTTTAGTGTTCTGGTTCTTTTAGCCTTTAGTGTTCTGGTTCTTTTAGCCTTTAGTGTTCTGGTTCTTTTAGCCTTTAGTGTTCTGGTTCTTTTAGCGTTTAGTGTTCTGGTTCTTTTAGCGTTTAGTGTTCTGGTTCTTTTAGCCTCTAACGTTCTTTTAGCATTCTGCTTTTTGTAGTTTCTAGAGTTCTGAATCTTGTAGCTTCGAGTGTTATTTTTCTTTTAGCTTCTGGTTGTGTTTTTAATTTTTATAGCTTCGAAAGTGTTCTGGTTCTTTTAGTTTCTAGTGTTCTGCTACTTTTAGCTTTTAATGTTCTGTTTTGAGTAGTTTTAAGCATTCTGCTTTGTGTAACTTAGCGTTGCTTCTTGTAGCTTCCAGTGTTATTTTTTCCTTGAGCTTCTGGTTGTGGTTCTTTTTGCATCTAATGTTCTGGTTCTTTTAATTTCTAGAGTTCTGCTACTTTTTTAATGTTCTGTTTCTTTTAGCTTTTAGCATTCTGCATCTCGTAGCTTGTAGCGTTCTGTTTCTTTTAGCTTCTAGTGTTCTACTACTTTTAGCTTTTACTGTTCTGTTTTTTAGTTTTTAACATGCTTTGAGTAGTTTTAAGCGTTCTGCTTTTTGTAGCTTCTCGAGTTATTTTTTCTTTCAGCTACTGGTTCTGATTCTTTTAGCACTTGGTTCTTTTAATTTCTAGTGTGCTGCTACTTTTGGCTTTTAATGGTCTGTGTCTTTTGTGTCTTTTAGATTTAGCGTTCTGCATCTCGTAGCTTCTAATTTTTTTTTTTTTTTTTTTTTTTCTTGAGCTTCTGGTTATGGTTCTTTTAGCGTAAGTGTTCTGTTTCTTTTACCCTCTAGTGTTCTGCTACTTTTAGCTTTTATTGTTCTGTCTTTTAGCTTTTTAGCATTCTGCTTTCTGTCGCTTCTACTGTATTTTCTTTTAGCTTCTATGTTTTGTTGATTAACTTGTTTAGTGTTCTTCTCTCAGCTATAACAGCTCAGTTTCAGCTTCTTCAGCACATTAAATCAGTCACTCTGTCACACACTTACAGAAAATGTTTTGTGTTTTTTTGTGTTCACAATATGATGCCACTTTGTTTGCCAAGTTGTTGAACAAACAAAAAAGCAGTCTAATTAGCTTTAGCCAAAGTCTAATTCTGTGTTAAAAATCTTGAAATAAACTTGATTCTTCAAAATCTGTTTCACCTGTTTGATTTATAAACAGATTTTCATAGACTCTTAAAAATAGGAAACAAAGGGTGATTCATATTTTCTTTAAAAGCTTGACAAGGGGCACATTTTGACTCATCAAATAACTTAAATGACTTATTTTAACTTGTCTAATAACAGCTTGCTTTGATTTAGCTTTCTTATGCCAGTTCAGGGCAGCTCAACAGTCTGTTTACTTCAGAGCACACTGATCATGTAGGTGCTAAAGATTAAACAGGAGTTGTCAATGATAATGAGATGTTAACGTTTCAGCTCAGTTTCACCTTAATGCAATTACGAAACCCTTAAATAGTTGGGATTTTCTAAAATGTGGTTTTTGTTGTGTTATCAGTAATCAACCTGCAGTAAAAATGACCGTTATCAGTTTCAGATATCAGGCTGACGTTATTCAAGG